ATATATATAGGGACAGGTTTAAAGGGTATGGCTAAACAAAAATGGCCTAAATCACTTCAAAACATGCAAAACTTAGACATCTGATGGGCATATTTTACGCTCATATTTTAGGTACATCTTTATAATATCTTTATATTAATTATTTATTATTATCTAATAATTAGTTCTTTTTATATACATAGTATAATCTATTCTTATACTATATATAATATATAATTTATAAGAGTACATACTACGTACTTAATACTATATATATATATAATATACAATATAATATATAATATAATATATATAATATAGAATGCATTATAGTATACATATAATGCGTACTACATTATAATTACTTATATATATATATATATATATATATATATATATATATATATATATATATATATATATATATATATTATAAATCTAAACTTTACAATTGATTTTTTCTTTTTTGTACAGGCATGCATCATAATAACATGGCTAGAATTGTGGAAGACTCAGGCATAAGGCAAAATAATAGGAAAAATGAGTGGTAGAAAATGATTGGGAAAATATATAAATAGTTAAGGTTTTCTATTGTAAAATGTTCATTCTTCCCCTCTCGATTATTCTGTAAAGTTGTTATCAATGTCCATTCATTGCTAATTTCTTTAGTTGGTTTAGTGAATTGAAGCCCCGGAGTTCATAACGCTGTAAGGTTATTTATTTAACTTTATTATATATATGTTTTTATGCATTTTGAGTATTAAATATTCTTCTAAATTATTTGAATAGTTGTATCATTTAATTGCTAGGGAGGCCTACTAGTTATTTATTTGATATAATTATTTGCTATATTAGATAATGTTGTGCTACAAATTATTCTAATATTCAGTAGCAACTGAGGTTAATTATTGACAGCTTAGTGATAATTGGTCTCGGGTAGAATATTTTCCTAAATTAAATGCAACCGCTTGTGCTTGTGTTATTTAGTTTGTCGGTTTTCCTAGTTCCTATTGCTGCTATTAAATTAAATCTATAGCGCTTGTCTTAGATTATTTAGTAGTTAGGGGTAATTAAACCGTTTGTGCTTTATTTACCTACAACTAAGGGAAAACAGAAATGAAATAATTTCCCGACAAATATTCAATTGCATATTAATTACTTTATTAATCAATGATCAGTGCTGAATTCCGGTGGTGGATCTTTACTAACCAAGTTTTCTTATTATAAGTGTTTTCGATATATTATTTTCATTGCTTTATTCGTTCAGTTAAATTACTTGTTTATTTAAATTCTCTTTTAATTGATCTTTATTCTCGATATATTCCAAACCCCCCTTCCTTTAATTTGAGCACATATTTTAAACTAGTTACTCCTCGTGGGATCGATCCTTACTCCCGCTACTACGTTTGTAAGGTTTTAATTTGGGAGCCTACGACAGCTCACCAACATCACTTAGGGAGTAATGAGGCAAGTTCTAGCAAAACACCCATGACCGGAATCTCACATAAGCCTTCACTAGCAATGCAAAACACAAGATCAAGAACTAATCCAATTATTAAGTGGTTAACAAAGCTATTGGCAAGAGAATAGATCAAATATGTGTTACACCTCAAATCATCCATCACAAATTGAGATGCAGCAAGCACCACTAAAACAAACCACAAACCAACAAGAGAGAATAATTGTAACTGCATGCTAAGACAAGTAGCTTATTCACCAAAAATAGCATATGAGTCATCCAAGCAAAAGCAAAAATTTTAAAAATTTAGAAATATCCCCAAATTAATGATTCCTCCCCCTCACACTTAAAACTTTGCATCATCCCTGATGCAAAATAAAAGAAAAGTAAAACAAGAGAAAAGAGAAAAGCAAGAAGCAATAAAATAATCACGAACTAGAAAATAATAAAACTAAATAAGACGAAACTAGAAAGCAATAAATAAATAGGGAAAGTAATAAAAGATAACATGGGGTGCCTCCCATGAAGCGCTAAATTTAACGTCGTTAGCTCGACGTTACCTCTCTAGCCATCAAGTGATTGGAGAAGAAAAATCCCCTTCTTTCCATCAACTTTCTCTTCCAAGTATTTCTTCAAGTGGTGTCCATTTATAAACTCTCTTAAGCTCGAACCCTTCACGTCATCATGTAAGGAACCACATTTGCCCGAATCAAGAATTATGCCTCCATTCTCTTTTCCTTCTTTTTCAACACTCTTTTGTTCAACAAGTAATGAGAGTCTCGGATCATTCACATGAACCAGAAAGTATTGGGAATCATTGGATATATAGATAGGCAAATGTGTGCCATTATCCTTAAGAACTCCAATGCCTCCCAAATTCAAAATTTCTCTGAAGTTCTCTCCGAGGGAAGTGTTCTCCATTGGTGAGACATCCTCATTCAAATCATGTGCTCCATTAAGAACTTCCTCATCTAATGGGCAACTCTCTATATGTTCCTTGCCATCATTACTTTGCAACTCTACATTTTCCTCCCAGCTTGGTGTCTCCATCTCAATGCATTTATCAAATATTTCTTCATCTTCCTTTCTAAGATCCTCATCATCCTTTTTATTTCTCTCAACTTCATGACCTTCATTTGGCAAGAGCAACTCTTCTAGAACCTCTCCATTAAATGAATCTTGAAGTGGCTCTTGAATTGTCAAATCTTGCTGTCGAGCCATCATGCGATCGAGTCGAGCATTCATGCGATCAAGTTGAGCATTCATGTGATCTTGTAACTCCAGATATTTCGAGCACAATTGCATTATCTTGGTCTCTTTGGACTTCATCTCAATTATTTGGTCAAGTGATTGACAATCTTGTTGAAACTCTTGGTACGGCAACTCTTGAGCTCGCCCTTGATACTTGTAATTGGGATCCATGATAAAGCAATTTTCCGCCTCATGAGATCCACCACATATCATGCACCGTGAGGGTCGTTGTAGTATAGTGGTGAGTATACCCGCCTGTCACGCGGGTGACCCGGGTTCGTTCCCCGGCAACGGCGCCAATTTGATGCGTAGTATATTTGCAAACAAATAATTCTCGGAGTACGAGTTATCGATCCACAGGGAAGTGGTTGTATCAAGCACTAGTTACTAACTTATTCATTAGAGCTAATCCTAACAATTACTTAGATGATTGATTGGCATAAAATAAATAAAATAAAATTGGCATAAAATAAATAAAATAAAACAGAGGTTCAGTATTTAATCACCTAGTGCCAATTATCGTTTGCAATATTTATTTTGGAATTAAGATTTGTGTGGGAATGCAAAGTGGAATCGAATTACTCCCGTAATCTCTATTCCTAGTGAATTTCCACTCCCATGGCTTAAACACCCAATAAGATCAAAGATCAGCATTCAATTATTCCTAATTACTACCATCTCCCGATTGGCAACAATCTAGAATAAACTTCCCCTAATAAGTTCCCCTTTCCCAAGGACCAACCATTAGGTGCAATCGTGTGTGCCCTAATTTATGCCCCAACTCCCATTGGTGACACAAACATGGCTATGAAGCTAGTAACTATGGCCATTAATTACAAGCATCAAACAATATTATCACGATTGCAACACAAGTATTAAACCCAAATAATAATATATTAAAGAAACTGAGAGCTCAGGCACATAGGTTCATAAACACTTTTACCCAAGAATCTCTAAAGAATTTAGCCAAGCATGACTAAATTATACATAGCAAATATAAATAAAGAATTACAAATCATCAAAAGAGTACAAGAATTAACTAGACGATTTTCTCAAATCTCCCTAGTCTTCTTCTTGCTTTCCAAGACAACTTGTGGCTCTTGATTTCTCTCCTTCTTGTCTCCAAGAATCTCTGAATTCTCTCGGTCCCCGTAATCTCTATTAGGGTTGAGGAAGGAGGGATTTTATAGTGGGTACAAAGTTGAGATGAAATAGGAATCTTGTACCAAATTGGACTCAAATTATAATTCCTATATATAAAGAAATTGCCGACTTTAATTATTAGTTTAAAGTTGGAATTGGAATTTGAATCTTGAAGTTTGCGCCTTTGAATATGGAAATTGAAGTTGGAATTTGGACTTTGGAATTGAAGTTAATTGGGATGTGAGAATTGAATTGAATCAGCGCCCTCACTGTATTAAGCTGGCACAATTTCGTGCGTCGCTCGACGCGTCGAGCCAAGTCTCGACGCGTCGAGACCAGCAGGTCTCGATCACAAAACATTCTGGAAATTTTCGACGCGTCGAGCCTTCTGGTACCCGAACTAGTCCAAAATTGCTCCGAACTCATCCTTGAACTTCCCTTGCTCATAGAATTGGCCTACAATGGTTCAAAAACACTAACAAACACCGTAAAACATTCAAAACAAGTGTGAACCATAATTAAATGATAATAGCAAGGAAAATATGTATTAAATAAGCAAAATTAAAGAACTTAAATACTGAGATGATTCAAAATAACTATAAAAACAAGCAAAGATGTGATAACATCAACGAGAGGGACGGGTCCCCAGAGTCCCAGTATGTGTTGTCCTCCCCGTTCGCAAACGTCATCATGGAGGAGCCCTTACCTCGAGATTTTCGCGTTACCACCATTAAAGCGTACTCGGGGACCACGGACCCACGTGCCCACCTCACCAGGTACAGGACCGCCATGATGATTACCGGGGCGACCAACGCCATCCTATGCAGGGGGTTCTTTGCCACCCTAGATGGGCAGGCGCATGACTGGTTCGGATCCCTCCCGGAGGGGTCTATCTCCACCTTTGCAGACCTCACCCGGCAATTTTTGTCCCATTTCGCCACCAACATACAGCGGAAAAAGCAACTCGCCGACCTGTGCGATCTGAAGCAAGGGAGCTCAGAATCACTAGCCGAGTACCTCAACAAGTGGAAGAAGGAGACCATGGGGGTCGCCAACTTCGATGAGAAGTCCGCCCTCCCGATTTTTCGAAACAACATAAGGTCGGGTTCTTTCCACCAGGACCTCATCAGGTACCCCCCCCCCCCCCCCCAGGAACTATACCGACAGAATGGACAGAGCAGCCAGGTATGCTGACGCTGAGGCTGCCAAAAAGAGGAAGAAGGAGCAGGAGGAAGGGAGAGGTCGGAAGGATAAAGCACCTCTGGAGGAGTGCAAGGCGCCACAGCCACACCGACATGAATATGCCAAGGGCCCCAGGTTGAACCCCACACGCTATCTCACCCCGTTGACACAACCTGTGGGTACCATCCTGGCGCACGCGGAGGGCCAGGGGATCGTGATGTTCCTGAAGGAGGAGTGCATGAAGATATCATCGAGGGGGGACCCCAACAAGTATTGCAGGTTCCACCGGCAGAAGGGACACGATACGGACGAATGCATCCTCCTGAAGAGGCAAATCGAGGAGCTCATCCAAATGGGCTACCTCGGTCAATTCATTAAGAAGCCCGGCCAGGCGCAGGGCCAAAAGAAAGGAAATGTCTGGAGGAAGGGGGGGTGGTCAGGCCCTCGGCACCTCGTAAGAGGGACCACGACCACGGCTCCGAGGAGGAGGAAAAGACGACGGAGGACTCCCAGCCCCCGAAGAAGCGTGTCATTTACGTTATCTTTGGGGGGGCCCGAGGGAGGGGACTCACCAGTCGAGCGGAAGAGGTGGGCAAGAAGCTTCTATGTGGGGGAGGTCACACGAGCGCCGCATGAGAAGAAACCAAAGAGGGAACCCATCACTTTTACTGACGCCGACCTACCGGATGGGCCCCTCCCCCACCGAGACGCCTTGGTGGTCAAGCTGGACATCAACAACGTGGTGGTGCACCGGGTGCTCGTGGACACGGGTAGCTCGGTGAACGTCATGTATTACGACACATTCACCCAGCTGGGACTCTCAAGAAACCAGCTGGAGCAGGTACGGACCCCCCCTATCAGGGTTCACGGGAGATTCAATTCAGACGTAGGGGTCGATCAATCTGGAGGTAGAGATAGGCGCCCCACCTCATACTAAGAGGTGGGAGGTCGAGTTCGTAGTCGTCAAAATCAGTTGTGCCCACAACATTATACTCGGTCGACCTGACTTAGAAGACCTTAGGTGCGTGATTTTCATAGAGCACCTGTGCCTCAAGTTCTCGACGCCAGCCGGGGTCAGGGTCGTCTGGGGGGACCAAAAGGTAAGTCGCAGCTGCTACTTGAAAGCGTGTCGCCAAATTGGTCAGAAGGACCTCCAGGTCCATACCATCGCCGAGAACGCATTTTGGGAGGAAGCAGGTCGATCTCGGGCCGAGCCCGTGGTCGAGACAGAGGAGGTCATCCTCGACCTCAGCCGACCCAACCGGGTCGTGAAGGTAGGGGTCGGCCTCCGGCCGAGCTCTGGGCACGGATAATTAACACCATCAGGAGCTACAAGGAGGTCTTCGCATGGGCCGCCAAGGATATGCCGGGCCTCAGCCGAGACGTGATCATGCATAAGTTGGTTGTCGACCCCGCGGTCAAGCCAGTCCAGCAGCGCAAAAGGTACCTCTCCGCCGAGAGGAGGGAGTTCGTCAAAAAGGAGGTCGACACCCTGCTGGAGATCGGTCATGTCAGGGAGGTCATATACCCCACCTGGCTAGCCAACGTGGTCCTCGCCCCAAAGCCACCCACCTGGAGGATGTGCGTGGACAACACCGACCTCAACAAGGCCTGCTATATGGACCCCTTCCCCCTCCCCAACATTGACCAACTAGTGGACGAGACTGCAGGTTATGCCCTCATGAACTTCCTAGATCCGTTCAGGGGGTACCACAAGATTTTCATGGAGGAGGCCGACGAGTAGAAGACAACCTTCACCACACTAGAAGGGGTCTATTGCTACAAGGTCATGGCTTTCGGGCTGGAAAATTCAGGTGCCACCTACACCCGAATGGTGGCCAAGGTGTTCAAGCAGGTCCTCGGCCGCAACCTGCAGGCCTACGTCGACGACATGATTGTTATGAGCACCGACGCCGACCTCCACACGGACGACCTTACCGAGGTATTTTCAATTATTCAGCGTTTCAATTTACGGTTGAACCCTAAAAAGTGCACCTTCGGGGTGCACGGGGGGTAATTTTTGGCGTACATGGTCTCGAAGAGGGGCATTGAGCCCAACCCCGACAAGGTCAAGCGCCTCAACGAACGGTTGGCAGCCCTGGGCCATTTCCTTTCAAGGTCGGCCGAGAAATCTTTGCCGTTCTTTGGAGTCCTCAAAAAGACTAAGGGCTTCGAGTGATCCGAAGAGTGCCAGAAGGCGTTCGAAGACCTCAAGACGTACCTGATGTCGCTCCCCCTGGCCAAACCCGTTAAGGGGGGGTCCTGTATCTGTACCTGGGCATCTCGCAGGCCGCGGTCAGTTCCATGCTGGTTCGGGACGACGAGGGGGTCCAACGACCCATATATTACACGAGCCGAGCTCTACGGGGGCGGAGATCAGGTACACACCCGTGGAAAAGGCCATCTTCGCGGTAGATGTGACGGCAAAGAAGCTGAACCACTACTTCCAAGCCCACCCCGTACAGGTCCTCACCAACCAGCCACTAGACCTAGTACTGAGGGCCTCGGGGTAGGCCAGCAGGTTGGTCAGGTGGGCCATGCGCTGAGCCAGTTCGACATCCAATTCAAGCCCAGACCCGCTATCAAGGGGCAGGCACTGGCTGACTTCATAGTTGAGTGTACTGCCCGGGAGGCCACGGAGCGGGCCCGGGACGAAGACGAGGAGTGGTGGACCCTCTCAACGGACAGGTCCTCTAGCACCAAAAGCTGCGGGGGTGGAGTCGTCCTCATAACCCCGGAGGGGTTTCGGGCCTACTACGCCCTCCGCTTCGCGTTCAAGTTATCCAACAACGAAGCCGAGTATGAGGCGCTCCTGGGGGGGCTCCGCCTCGCGCTAAATATGAAGGTGGAGAAGCTCAAAATCCGATGTGACTCCAGACTCGTGGTGGGACAGGTCACATGTAAATTTGAAGCAAGTGACGGAAGAATGAGGAGGTACCGGGACGTGGTGCTCCAACTACTAGGGCAACTGATCAATTACGAGGTCCTACAGGTGCCCCGAGACCAGAACACAGATGCTAATATGTTATCTAAGCTCGCCCAAGGGGCCCCAGAGCATATTTCAAAAATAGCCCGAATTGAACATTTCAAGAGGTCGAGCCTGGACGCCTACCCGGTCCTTCCTGTACAGACCCGATCTCCCTGCTGGTTGGACCACCTCAAGGAGTACAAGAAGACAGGTGCACTACCTCTCGACGAGGTCAACGCCAAGCTGGTGAAACGACGAGCCCCAACGTACGTGGTCATGGGGGACACACTATACAAGAGGTCCTACAACGACGCTTTGCTGCGCTGCCTATACCCAGACGAGGCCAGGTCAGTCATGGAGGAGATCCACGAGGGGACTTGCTCCGCCCACCAGGGGGCCTTCACCATGTCCCGGACGGTCATCTTACAGGGGTACTTTTGGCCTAAAATGGCCAAGGAGTGCGCCGACTACGCCAGGAGTTGCAAGACCTGCCAGCACTTCCAGGTCACCCCAGCCGACCCGCCACGAGCTACACCCCCATAAGCTCGGTCATCCCCTTCTCTAGGTCGGGAGTAGACCTAGTGGGAGCTCTAACCATGGGGTCGGGAAAAAGGAAGTACCTCATAGTTGCAGTGGACTACTTTACCAAGTGGGTGGAGGTGGAACCGTTGGCAACCATAACAAGCGCCCGTTACAAGCACTTCGTGTACAAAAATATTTTGTGCCGTTTCGGGGTCCCGATGCAACTCATCACCGACAACGGACGCCAATTCGAGGGGCAAGAGTTCGAGGGGTTCTATGCAGAATGGCACATTACTTAGAGTCGGGTGGCCATGTGCTACCCTCAAGCAAATGGGCAGGTGGAGAATGCCAACCGCACCATAGTGGGTGGCCTGAAAAAGAAACTGGAATCTGCCGGGGGGGGGGGGGGCGTGGGTGGAGGAGCTCGACGCCATTCTTTGGGCCTACCGCACCACCCCCCAGAGGGCCACTGGGGGACACCATTTTCCTTGGCCTACGGTTTCGAAGCCCGAGCTCCAGCGGAGGTGGTCATACCTTCCCGGCGGGAGGAGGACTACGACCCTGACACGAACGAGGATCACCATAGAACTGACCTCCACCTGATTGATGACAGGCGCGAAGCAGCTGCGATCCGAGCTGAAAACTACCAGAGGCAAACCAAAGCATACCATGATAGGCGGGTCCGACCCTGCTATTTCCAAGTGGGAGACTATGTGCTCAGGAGGAGGGAGGCGAGCCAGCCCCAGGCCGGAGGAAAGTTTGCTGCCAACTGGGAAGGTCCATACATTGTAGCAGCCGTGGTCCGCCCGGACAGCTACAAGCTCAAGACCCCTAAAGGAAAGATGATAGCTAGGGTCTGGAACTCGGAACATCTGCTGAAATTCTACCAGTAGACACGCCACGTGAGAGGTGGACCTTGACATTGCTATTCTAGGAGGTGGACAATTCCCCTCCCCCAATAATGTCTTAGTGGACAGCAATAAGCGGAATAAAATTTCATGTTACGAAATTTGTTATGAGGAGGACCCTTGTTACGAAATTGGTGTTCATTGATTCTCCCTTAAGAAAAAAAACCACGTAAAATGAGGGGGAACGGGCACTCGCCATCCCGCATAGGGCGTCCGAACTCTCGCTCGAGGTGGGTGTATCCACGCCGATGGGCTCGGGCCCGTCCTCGGGAGGTCCCGGCAGGCTGGGAAGAAGCGGGGTGCCTCGTGTGAACCCCAAACCTGCTAAGCTCTCCCCACTCACAATCGGCGCTATGTATATAGGCGGGCCACCGCGCCGAAAAACGCAAACGTCCTCCAACAAGGTAACCCCCTTCCGAGGCGTTACGTGTTTTCGGAATTGAGGGCTCCAGGCAGACACAAAAGGGAATTCGGGGCCAACAGAGATAAACACGAACTTGGGTTTCCACTCGTGGTTTGAGGAGTTGAGATCCTGAAAAGTTTTCATATGGGAGCGAGCTGAGAAGGACACCCACCCCTTGCTCGAACGGCCCGAGGAGCCCCACGGCCTGGAAGTGGTAGTTGAAGAGATCGAGGTACGACTCTATGCGTAGCTCCTGACACCATAGAAGAAAAGCCAGGACCATGCAGTGGGAGTTCAGGACTAGTTGGCCCAAAGCAATTTCATAATAGTTGAGGAGAGACAATACAAAGGGGTTAAGTGGAAAACGGAACCCGTACGACAAGGAGAGGACGTGGATACCAAAGAAGCCGACTTCCGGCGGGTTGGTCACGTTGTCATCCGGAGAAGGCGCCATCACCTCAACACCCGACCCCACGGTGTCTTTGGCCCTAGCCAATTGATGAGGCTGGAGACGTGACATGGTGGAACGGGCGACACGCGGGTCAAGGTCGGTATACTCGACCACGGCAGGACCGACCCCGCGAGCAGGGAGGTCGACCTCGACCGGTCCCGCGACCCAGGCAGGGAGGTCGGCCGCGGAACCCCGGGAGGGGTTGGGGACCTCAGTAGCAATGGGGAGTGTAACACCTCGAAATTTTGAAACTTTTCAAACTTATATGATAAAGGTAATTTCTCATAAAATCCCAAACAGAGCATTACTAATTATAAGTGTACGGGATGTTATGCCACATCTGAGCTGGAGAACTCAGATGCATAGGCTAAACTAACTAAATATCCTCAATACATCATTATGGCACGCAGGCCAAAAGGAAAGACTATCTATCTAATCCACGATCTTCTAGCGCGCTCTGGGATCTACTCATCTGTGCCTGAAAGCCAAATATATCTGTTCAGCGAGAGATGCCGGTAACCCACTCCAACGCGTTGAAATACATTATAGATAGATATATATAGATATACGAAAATCATTTTGAAGCAGGAAGATATATACTTAAGAGACGCTAGTTTTAAAAACCAAGAATAGACTCAGCAAATATGGACAAGCACATCAAATAATAATAAACAGTTAAGTAGAG